TAATAAGTAGCATAAAACTAGCCCGATAGATTTTCGGCAGTCTGTTGGTTGTAGCTATAATTATATATCGGGTTGGAGATGTTTGTATATATATTACGCCTTGCCGGGGCTTGCGATGGCCGGTTGAGAGCCGTATGGGAAGTAGGACGTGGGCACTGAATGTGTCCCCAGCCGGCGTTGTAATAACCGTCGATGGTTAAGTAGTTAGATTATATACGCTGGAAGAGGAGATCGGATCGGAGGTCCGGGTAGCGTAACTGGCAACGCATCTGCACGGTAAGCAGGAGTTGTGGGTTCGAGTCCCGCTCCGGGCCGATTTTTTCTCCCAGCGGTTCCAAATTATTTAAATTAATTAATATATTTATAATTATTAATTTTAATAAGAGATGGCGCCTAACGCTTACCTCTAGTGCCAAATTAATTACGTAATTTATTTAGAATTTAGCATTAAAATAGCCCGATTAATTTACGGCATTCGGTTGGTGTCTTACTAAATTCAAATAAATGTGCCAGATATCCTCTATTCAGTGGTGTAGCTACATATTCAGTACCCTGGAGCAAGTAGAATTGGTGTGCCACCTAAAATGTTAAATTTATCTATATATATAAATGAGAATGTTTGTTTGGATGTTTGTTCCCTATACACTCCTAGGCCATTCAACAAATTGCTATGATACTTGGCAGTTATGTCTATATACCCCTATGTTATATATATATAGTTTTATTTTGTTAAATTTTTTGCCAATAGATGACGCTGGGTGTAAATCAGCAAATCAAATGTAGATAGAAATTGATTTACAGAAATTCACATTTTTTATTTTAAAGATATCAAATATAAAAAATATAAAAATTAAAGTGTTATTCTAAACAAACTATAATAATAAATATAGAAATAAACAGAAATAAAATAAAATAATACAGAAAAATAAAAATACAACAGAAATAATATATAGTACCTAATACCATTTTTTAAAAATTAACTTCTCAAGAAACTTAAATTATTTATAGTCTTATCTCCTAATTTTGATCTAATTTTTGTACAAAATAATCCAGATCCCGAGAATACCCTTTCATATTCAACACTTGTTGGACGAATGGATCATTAAATTAAAATTAAACAAAAAATATCTCTCATAAAATTAATAATGAGGTATATTGTTGCTTACACTTACCTGTTTTTTTTTTTTTCTTTGTTCAATGTCCCTTTAGTCCTTTTAAATATCTATAAACACAATATTTTCTACATAGAAATTTCTAGTATGGATTTTTTTATTTACTGAATTATCGGTAAATAAAAAACATTCGGTAAGTTTACCAAATGTTTTTTATGTCAATTTATTGGTAAATCGGTATACAATCCCTACTGTGTGCTATAGAAAGTGTTACCCTGTGAAAAATTTGTATTTAATTTTCCACATCTAATGACTCGTATTTTTCATTTTTGAATGGTACTTTCTTAATTAATTCTAATAAGCCTCCTCCACTAACTGAATGGGAAACCACCAAACTCTGGTAGTTAGTTGTGTGTTCGAACATGGCAAACATGCTAGCCGCATGGAGTTTTTTGTGTTTTCTTCACCTAAATAGGGTCCAGCTTCCCATAAAAGTTTTCCTGGGATGCATCTCCCCTGGTCAATTACTCACATGTTGTGATGCAGTAACTAAATAAATCAAATTAATTTTAACGAGTGATTATTTATTTTGACATCGTCACAATGCCAGCCTGCAACCTTTTATCGTCGTGTTCTCAATTTTTTAGTACTTGTTGTTGCCCCTGTACATCATACTTTTCCCATTAGCAATAGAGTTGTGCTGATTATCTATTTAACTTTGTTTAGGGGAAAATTTTGAATCAAAGTAATGTAATGTCTATTCCAAACCTGAAGATCCTATATACTTAATCTAGGTCTCCTACCCCTAAGCTTTCTTCATTTATTCTCCACTTTCATGTATCTAACATCTTTTTAGAGACTGAGGAAGGACAGATAGACCAACAGACATACAGATGGACAACAGTCAAAACTTATAGGTCTACAATTTTTTAATATTGCAGTCTGATAATTTTTCTATAAATGCAATATTTACGAGAATATACTTCCCACATAGTTAATACAATCTGTTGCAAAAATATAAACACTTTATTGTAACATAAAATAATTAATGTGAGAAGTCGAGGGGTTGATGGATACCAGTTTAAACTCCTTGGGTCAGTTAGACCTGCTCAAGTGTCACTGGATGGTGGTTAGATAGGAGAGTGAGTGGGGAGTTTTCATTGATGACTCCATCAACAGGGTGACCGTTAATCCAAGTAAAGACAAGTGGACAGGTTAACCTTTCAACAGTGGAATAGTCAGGTATGCTGCTATCCCTTAGTAGTGGAGAATAAACGTGCAAAATTTTTAGAGTATTTTTCCATGCCTTTTTTCTCATTACTGTTTCAGAAAAAGATTTTGTAAACAGTTATGTGTAGTAAAGAAAAGCCTTTTTTTATTGTTACATAGTTAATTTTTTTATGTGAGTTTTTTTTTGTGGTAGTTTTTGGTGATACCTCCAAAAGAATTTGACGTATATACGTCCCTCACCACTGCCACATGATCGCCCTTGATGAATATATTCATTGCTCACTGCTGAGTGGTTAACAAAATTACAAATTTATTATAAAGTAAAATGATTACACTGGAATACAAATACTAAAGAATAACTTGAATAAATGTTAGGGATACAATTTTGCAGTTTGATTCTCTTACAAGTTAACAGACCAAGAGAGAGAGTTTACAATACTAAAATACTTCTGTTGGATGACGATTGTTGACCTCTTGTTGTATGGGTTCGTCATTGATCTTCGTATGGAGAATGGCAAACTTGTTATGGCTTTGGGGAGAGTATCTGCATGAGGTACAGTGGGACAAGTCTTGGTACTCAACCTGCTACTATGATGGTATAACTGTGGGTTATGTTTCTCTTCCTTGAACTGTCTGCCTGGAGTATGGTGGGACAGACAATAGTCTATGGCTTCTGTTGGAGATCTCTTCGTCTTCAAACTGTCTGCCCCGAAGGCCAGATGTGTGATCATTATATCCCCATCATGTGTGGTAATTTGGTCTCTTGACTCATGTTGTTCTCCTTTTGTCATGGAATTGTTTTAACTGTCAATGTTTCCACGCATCAACAACTGGGTAATGTTGACGCTTTTGAACAATTGACTAAAGTTTTATGTGTTCTTTATTTATTGGACCCGTGAAAAGATGGAAATACCATAAATTGGGAAAAGTTTTTTCCACGTTAATGAATTGTACAATAACTGCCAGATCTCACATTAATACCCAGCTAGATGCTTCTTAACCTATGCAAGAACACCTTATCTCACTGAGAATTATGTATTAACCATAATGGGTGTTTTCAACCTGTTCTACAGACCATCTTTGGGTTTTTAAAAAGCACGAAATATTGATAACTTTTTTTTTGTAAAGAACAGTTATCAATATTCCATGATTTCATTGTAAAGAACACATTTAAAATATTATATTCAGCTATAATGAGCTATAATTTGGACTCAAATAGCTCATTATTAAAATATTGAGCTATTGAGTTCAAAGAATAAATTACAATAATATATATGTTATGGACAAAGTAATTAATCGGGCATTATGAATAATGACCAAATAGGGCGGGCAGTGTGATAAATATTGATTAATTTATCAAATTGACTGGTCATTATGAATACTGCTATCACCTAGTCGGGCAAAGTGATAATAATAAGTTGAGGAGTGATCATCTGACATACGCTAGCCAATCGGCACGCTGAGTTGCGTGTGCGTATCGTACAGCGTTTAGTACAGAATTTTAAACTTGATTAAAAAAACTCCACTTATTTCATTTATAAATATTTATTTTTTGTAAATTATATCAAAGTACTATTAACTATATTAATTAAACTAATATTAACGAAAAGTATTATTAACAATTTTTGGTATAAATTATATAAAAAATTAAATGCTTTTTAGTTTATTTATTTGAGCAATTAACATTTTCATGACATTTGGAATTACATAATTTTTTTTTCTTTGGTAGCATTTGCATCTATTAGATTTTCAACCAATTTTTCAGCAGCATTAACTATAGTTGTGGCCATCAGGAATTGATGACATTCTTGCACATTCTCTAAGCGAAATTTCTGCACCCGGTACATCTCCAACAGAAATAAAGTTTTCTTTACAAACAGTAAATTGGTTTCTGGAATATAATAGATTTAATATGCCATGTTTGGTACCCAGTTTGTAAAGGTTTTTATCTTTAACCGCAACAACGACACCTAAAATATTTTTTCCATCACTGCGGGCTCGATCTTCATCAGGTACACGAATCCTTACTGTATCACCAACAATAGCTGCTGTGTATTTGGAATTTGATGTATTAATCATTTTTTCTGCTTGCTTTTTAAGATTAAACAAAGCCCTTGTTTTAGACACACTTCTTATTTTTTCTTCTATTTTTGGATCAATT